AGGTCACAGAACTCACAAGTTGATCACCAAAACATACATCAAGTGGATCACGTGAATATCCCATTATCACCACAAATAAGCACACGCAAGACATACATCAAGTGTTCTCAAATCCTTAAAGACTCAATCCCATAAGATAACTTCAAAGGGAAAACTCAATTCATCACAAGGAGATAGAGGGGGAGAAACATCATAAGATCCAACTATAATAGCAAAGCTCGCGATACATCAAGATCGTGCCATATCAAGAACACGAGAGAGAGATCAAACACATAGCTACTGGTACATACCCTCAGCCCCGAGGGTGAATTACTCCCTCCTCGTTATGGAGAGCGCCGGGATGATGAATATGGCCACCGGTGGTGGATCCCCCCTCCGACAGGGTGCCGGAATAGGGTCTCGATTGATTTTTGGTGGCTACAGAGGCTTGCGGCGGCGAAACTCTCGATCTAGGTTATTTTCTGGAGGTTTGGGGATTTATAGGAGAGGTTGGTGTCGAGAACAAGTCAGGGAGCCCCACGAGAAGTCCACGAGGCACAGGGGCGCGCCCTAGGGGGTGGGCGCGCCCTCCACCCTCATGGGGCCCACGGGATTCCCCTCTAGTAACTCTTCGTTCCAGTATTTTTTATATTTTCCAGAAAAAATCTCCGTTGATTTTCAGCGCATTCTGAGAACTTTTATTTCTACACAAAAATAACACCATAGTAGTTCTGCTAAAAACAGCGTCAGTCCGGGTTAGTTCTAACCAAATCATACCAAAATCATGTAAAAATATTATAAACATGGCATGAATACACCAAAAATTATAGATACGTTGGAGACGTATCAACCTTCGGGTTCCCATCTCGTGTCGAGTACCCCGAGTTCTTTGATGATGATGATGACATCCGCCAGGAGTGATTTCATTGGTGTTCCTCTCGTTCTTCACCCCTTTTTGCATGTTGCTGTCAAAGGGGGAGAAGTAGTATCTTAGTATATGGTCATGCTATGTGTTTGGCTATTTGTGTTAGCTATTATTCAAACTTGTTGTTGCTACTTATAATACTTTCGTTTGAGACTATGTTATTATCCTTGTGGCTATGAAATGTTCTAGTCTATGTGTTATGGTGGTTTCATATGTGCATGTCTCTCACATTTATATGTCTTTGATCTACATATGTCACCATGAGAGTTTGTGCTATACACCCTAACATATTCATCTCATGCACACAATGAGGGGGAGCTAAAAGCAAATAGAAACATAAACATATTTTGTATTTTTTTCTCTCATGATTGTCAATGATAAATTTATTTATTGCATCTATGACACTACATGTATGATTGTCATCAACAAACAAAAAGGGGGAGATTGAAAGTGCAATCATGCCCTTACATCATGTTTTGATGTTGATGACAATCTACATGTGGGGGACTAAATATGTTTGTCAAGTAAATCTCAGGTATTAGTTCCCGGTTCATCAATGTGTGGATCAAGAGCATACGAAGTGATTTTACTCAAGGATGAAGTATCAAAATTGATTACATATTTGTTTTCTTGAGTATAGGATCCCACACTATTAAGAGGGGATCGATAGGGTTAGTTTAAGGCTTGCTCTTGCCACAACCCTCCATTCCAAATATGCTTTTGTTCCATCTTTATATTCTCTGGGATGTTTCTGTCTCTGGCCTGCCGGATGTCCGGGCCTCACGCTGGATATCCGGCCAGTAGGCCGGATATCCGGACCTAGCTATCCAGAAAGCATCTGTGCTGGTGCTATTTGCCGGATGTCCGGCCCTCTATGCCGGATGTCCGGACTTTCCTTGCACCCCGGATTTCTGGGCTTCCCTGCCGGATGTCCGGCCTGTGCTATCCAGAGGCCGTTTTAATTTGGTAAACTTGTCGGATGTCCGGCCATGTGCCGGATGTCCGGGGTTTCCTGATATGCCGGATGTCCGGGCTTGGCCCCCGGATGTTCGACCCCTCTGTTTTCTTCTTTGCTTCTGCCTTGTTCTTCGAATGCCTTGCTAGGCCGGATGTCCGACCCCTAGCCTGGATGTCCGGCCTGCCCATTCACTTACACTACAACGACCACATTTGTGCTCACACTATATATAGCCCTTCTTCCCCACGGGAGAGGGTTGACCATTCACTTTGAACAAACCCTACAACGCATTTCACTCTCTCTCTAACTCCTACACACCAAATCTTAGATCTCCAAGGGATTTGAGAGCATTTGAGAGAAGTTGTCCGATCAAGTGATAGATCCACTCCTTCCACTTCTTTGCACCAAAGGAATTTGTGATTTGAGCAAGTCTTGAGTTTTTTCCCATCGTTCTTGTTACTCTTGGAGGTTGGAGACTGATAGGCGGTAGGAGTCTTTCGGAGAGGAATCGACCATTGTGATTACCCCCGGAAAAGACTGTGAGGGTTTTGAGACCACCCCAAGGTCTACCACTAGTGGTTGAGAAACGCCTATGTGGTGTTGTCTCAAAGGGAGAATATGGTGAGCCTTCGTGGCGTTGGTGTGCCTTCGTGGTAACATCCACCTCTCTAATGGTGACGTAGCTTCCCTCCAAGGAAGTGAACATCGACATACATCCTTGTCTCCCGGAGTTGCGGTTACTCCTAACCCTAACTCTCTACTTGTGGTTACCTGTCTCTTAGCACTCACTTATATCATATTGTGCTTGCTTACTCACGTACTTGTGTTACTTGTTTATCTTACTTAGCTCTTAGCATCACACTTGGAATTGTTAGGCTCACTTTCATATTCCGCATTATTGCCTAAAATTGCTAAGTAATAATTAAAATTTCTAATTGTACCTATTCACCCCCCTCTAGGTCCATCTCGATCCTTTCAGTCGGGTTGCGAGTATTTGTTATTTGTGTGCAGGTGCCGTTCACGTAGTGTCGTGTGGTTCTCCTACTGGTTCGATAACCTTGGTCTCATCACCGATAGAAATACCTACTGTTGTTGTGTTGCATCATCCCTTCATCTTGGGGAAATACCGACGTAGTCCAAGCAGACATCAAGACCCCAAGGTGAGAATAATTGGGATGTCAACAGGGATGGCTTTACCTTGAAGATTACATGTATTCATTAGTTGTTAATGCTTTGATCCGATTCTGTATTAAAAGGAGCATCTTAATTACCCTTAATTTTCATTGGGATCCCGTTGAAACTAGAGGGTAGCATAAAATATGTTGTGCAAGTTCTTATCGCAAGCACGTACAACTACATACGGAATACATGACTACATATGATTGATGATTTTGAGATAGTTGGTTGTTTCTCTATGATATGACTATTGCATAATGAATTTCATCTGAACAAAATTCACTATCTACTTCCATGCATGTGAATTCCCTCCCTGTTACTCCGCTACACTTGTGAGTCATCAATTAGCTTCCTCAAATCCTAGAAGATCAACAAACTTGAGTGGCCACGGAGGGAGATCGGGCAAGATTTTGTTTTAGGCAACAAATGAAGGTGAGAGAGGAGCAAGAGGTTGGTGAAAGGAGGAAGAAGCTCCTCCTTATATAACTCCCAAATCCAACCGTTATGTGCAGAATTTGCACTGAATGGTAGTACTACTTCTGCGAGCGTTACTACACCATCCCGTTAG